ATGGTGCTTTTAATGATTTAGGTATACACAGCTTTAGTTCTCAGAGCAGACTAAAAATAGTGATTTTAATTTATTCCTGCTGCCTACAATTACCCACAACCATGTATTTTTAAATATTTCCAGCCTATAAAAATTACTAATTTTTGCCACTTGTGTTTATCTGCATTTAGACTTTGATTTGGATAAATTAAGCTCTCAAGTGTTCCTCGCTTTATGAAACTCTGCATGTTGTACACTTCAACACAAATAAATGACTTGTACCATTAGAGGTTTAAATAATGTGATGTGTTTCATGCTCAGCCTGAAGCTGGATTCCAATGAAGTTGCTAATGCATGTAATGATTAAGTGTAACTCAAATACTAACTGTGTTGTTGAAAACATGACAGGCAATAATTTGGTCTATTATATTCTGCCATTTAATTGCCTAGTACAGACATTCTCTGACACGTTATGAAGCAATGATTTACAATTATTCAAGCTGCAAAGGTCAGAAAGTGACATTATAATCATCTACATAGAGATCCCTTCTAATGCACAAAAACTAGGTAATGCCACACATGCAAAAAAAAAAAAAAGAGAGAGAGTTTTACTGCATTAGTAACTTTCTATTTAAGGTTTCTTAAAGCAGCTAAGAATAAACAGTTCATAAGCACATTGATACACAATAGAAAATGTCTAGAATTTCTTCATGAACCCGGAGGTGACAGATTTAGAGAATGTCCTTATTCTCTCCTGATTAGGTAAACTCTACGCAACTGTTTAACTTTATACACAAGACTGAAGACTAGACATAGGAAAATAAATCAGAAAAACACATAATCCCTAAACCATGCATACCAGAGTCCTTGTGAGTAATGCACACAAAGTTAGGTATATTTCCTAGGTTTATTAAAATCACAGGCTACTTCCTAGTTTTCTACTAACTCTTATTTTTTAGTAACTAGGAATGGAAAAATTAACCAGTAACTCAAGATGATCAATTTTACTCCTCTCATCCTAGTGAAAAGGTAATAAAATCTCCCTTCTTGAGGACTTCTTTCTGTTACACCAACATGTTTAATGTTTAACTACTCAAGTGCAATAAATGATCAACACATAAAGAACAACTGGGAAAAATACTCAAGTTATTTAAAACAAGTCTAATATGAGAAAAGTGAGACAGAGAGATACAAATAAGACAGACTGAATAACAGGATATTAAAGTAAACCACTGTGCAAGCAGCATTTTCAGAGCACGTAAACCTGAGCCGAGCCAGAGAGCGAGCAGCGGGGGGGGGGGGGGGGGTGGGGGGTGGGGGGGGGGCGGCCGGGAGCCGGGCGGCAGCAGCCAGCAAGGGAGGGAGAGCCAGGGCAGGCGGGCACAGCCCCGACAACAGGTGTCAGCACGCACAGGAGCAGGGTATGATGGGCCAGTGAACAGGAAGGCGGCCGGGGCCGACCATCACGACCACATCGCTTCAGTCCATCACTGAAACACCTTTAACCTCAAGGCTACCGCCTGTACAGTGGGGAAAACAAACATGAGATAAACGATCTCATGAAACTACGGAGATCAATCAAAAATCACTGTGATAAGGCATACACTAAACCACAACACTGCACAGAAACTATCTATTAGGGTATTATATATATACCATTATGTATACACATAGGTTGTATTATATAAATTTAAACAAATTTACCAAAACATATGTATAATGACTTTTGGGGAGCCAATGATATTTTCAAGGTCTTGACTACTGAAAAAAACAAAGGTAAAGACCAGGGACTTGGTAAACATGAGTTTAACCTGTTTTTAAACATATGTCCCACATAAAATCATTAACTTATATCTAGGAATGCCTTCCATTCCTTGTCATTTTCTCCCCTCTCCCGCAGGTGTAAGATAAAGAAACTGTGCTGTTCAAAAACTGCTCCTTGTAAAAGTGAAAGTAAAACTAAGCGCTGTAGAAGAAGTTATCTATCACAGTCCTTAAAACAGGAAGCGCACAGCAACCCGCCCCTGAAACCTCCACCGGGCCGTGACGGGCAGACAGGGGGTGGGGGGGGGGGGGGACACACGCAACCCCAGCCCCGGACTCCGGATCTGCTGCCTGGCGGGCACCGCACACCCTCGAGGACACGTCCACGATGTGCTGTAACTGAGATGTGCTGGTAGGGGAGAGATTACCTAAAAATTCCACTTTGAGATTCACAGAAAATCAGCATAGGTTCAAAAACTGAAAAAGAAGTCCAAAAGGCAGTTTTTGTGAAGGGAGCAGCTAACGCACAACCCTGAAAGTGAGCCCGACGGAGAAGTGCCAGCCGTACGTGTGACGGCATCTCCAGTCTGCACACGGAGAGACACGGAGAGACACGAGAAAAAGTCAAACAGCTGCAAATAATCCAAAACATTAATACTGGCCTCAAGTTGACAAAATGCACTCTTTGTCGTTTCCATCAATTCCACCATAAAATATTAGGGTTTGGGTTTTTTTTTTTTCCCCAAGAAGAACCGTGGTTACTGAAAAATATAGTAGGACACTGCAATCATTTCATTCTAAAATGCACCTGCCCCACTACTTTTATATATTATTGTGCAATCAAAACTATTTGAAAAACAGTTCATTTCTTACAGCTCAGAAGAAAGAGGCGACTAATAAAGTTCTAGAAGACAGAGACTCAGAGACTAACTACTGCAGGAAAGAAAACAGTGCAGGCCCTTCTGTTTGTGACAAAATTATGGTGTTAATGTTCCCGAAAGGTCAGTTCACCTTTTAAAGCATGATTTTTCAAAAGGTAAAATTTATAGCAATTAAAGCTAATGAAGAAGCGCAGCGCGCACCGCTTATGTTCAGGAACTAATGGGCCCACTGAGCATCTCCACGGTCGCCCGGCCAGCAATGACCACGAGCTGACGCTGTCGGTGTTGGCACTGCACCGGTGCTCCCTACCGCCTCCAGTGCCGTAGCCAGTTCTCGCACGTCTCAATGTCTCTCCTTCAGCGTGGAGCCTGCGCGCCGCCCGCCCCTTGCAAACACAGGTCCCACCCGGGGCACGTTCTCTGTAACACCGAAGGGTGCTTGGCTCACTGGGGTTCCGGTGCACCCACACTGATCAAGAGTCGTGTAGTATTCAGCGTGCTGCAGTTCCTCAGAACGTTGAGCTGCACTGTGAGAATACCCACCCTGCAAAAATTACTGTTGTGTGACTTTTAAATCAAATTTCATTTTTAAAAAGTTAAGAGATCTAGCATTTTATACTCAAAAAAGGGTGGCGACGACCACCATTCTAGGAGATACAATTCTGGAATCCAGAGAGCTCTTCCCAGGCACACACGTACACGCAGACCTCTGTAACAGCAGCACTAAACCCAGGGTATCTGCGTGCATCTGCGGTTCTGTACCTTGGGAGTCAAACAGAGAAGCCACTAGTGCAACATTTCAGTTGTGTGTGGTGAGCACTGAGCCAAGCAAAGTGTGCATTGTTCAACTTACACAATCAAAGCCAATCAATCACATATTGTCTCTGGTCCTACACATGCCAGAAACCGTTCTCTGAAAACGTCTCTTCTCTCCCTGTCCGGGGTCTGGGTACCCCTCATAAAAACGAGTGGAATTAGAATTCCAATAACCAAGTACGCAAAAACTGTTTATTTCACAGACAGGAGGAACAAACTGCCTATTGCCATCTAATAGCAAACTTTCGTGGAAGCCAGGGCCTTTCTCTTTCCTATAACTCATGTGGTAAAAACAGTACATGATGTATCTTTTTAAATTCCAAGACCCAGAGCAATTAAATCGAACCATTTGGCACTCGACCCTCGCAGCTAAAGTCAGCAGCGAGAACACTCGTTCTCCCACCGATCTTCTGGGGCTCTGGGGCAAAGGTTCGTCTTCATTTACTTTAGCTGCAAGTCACTGAACCATCAAGTCTGCCAGTGAATAAATCACAGACCACGGCTGATAAAACGGTTTGCGAAGTTACTTGCAAAACTCTCTTCAGGGTCAACAAACACCATGCGTCCTGGGAGGAGGCGTACCGTCCAGCAAGAACCAGAAGGTGTTTCTGACATAAAAGATATTCCTATTGACATGGCAGGGCCAACCAGAGAAACTGTCTAATAAAAAGATAAACCTAATAAATACATCACGAGCACGCTGCACAATTTAACTGAACCCAAAGCACTCTGTGAATCAGCCACAAGAACCGCAGGTTTCTCGGGTTTCACAGAAAGTGTTTTTGTGTGACGCACGTATTAGTTAATTTCTGCAGCATAATAACATGAAAACATATTTTTAATCAGAAGTAGGATGTTAAGATTTGGCTCTGAATGTCCTATGATATACCATAGATGTCATGGCGTTTTAAAACCTTTTAAGGCGTCTCAGTGCTTCCTACTTAACCCAGCACGTTTGAGTGACAGTTAGAGACTGTGAATGATTCCTTGGAGGAAAGAGCCATTAACTAAAAAAGGAAAACAAGTTTTGAAATAAAGTTACACAAAAACACACATTATACACTGCATTTTTCCAAGCTTCATCCCTGCAATAATCAGTAAGCAGCTGTCTGAAATTAAATCTTTTTCTGCTTTTTTCCTTACGAAATACGTCCAGTGGATCCAAAGAGCCATTAATGTGATTACAATCGAAGCAGCACAGCAAAAGAGAAAAAACACACATATACACTCCTCAAGCTGCATTATGTATTTTTTATGTCTTTAAATGGAATTTCCAGTTCTCTCTGGCAATGTGAATGAACATCCTATAATTTAGTCAATTTACAGATTACAGGTTCAAATTGACCTTGTAGCCCATAAAATTGCTCATCTTCAGCGCGGGACGAGAAGTGGGAGAAGAGTGTCATAACTGTATTTAAGGAATTTACCATAACAATGGGAAGGGGGCTCTGCATGCATAATTTTAGCCACTCGTGCTCGTATCAGTTTTGAATTCTGAAACAATGGACACCCTGCACATGCTCCTGGCTCGCGCGGCGGGGACGGTTTCAATGCACTCACCCACACACATGACACTTGTACTCCCTCATCCCAAGGTGCCTTTTCACGTGGTTCCTGGCATCGCCAAGCTGAGCTGTTGCAAAATGGCAGATCTTGCACTTGAATGGTTTTGATCCTAAGTGAATTTAACATAAAATACGATTTGAATTTGAATAATACAGTACTGGTAGTTTCAAAAGAGGCTTAGTTCCTAAGTCATACTTTTAATCTAATTACAAATTCCTGTCCCCAAAATGCAACGCTTGGATTCCTAACTGGAAAAGACCTGCGTTCCGTAATTACCCCCCCAAAAGGACCCTCCCTGTTTCAGTGAGTGCTCCTCACCTCCAAGCGCATCTCTGAGAGTTAACATCAGGGGTGACACAGCTGAGCAGCACTAAGCAGATGGGATGAGCTAAATAATTTTCAATATTTTCCTTACAATTCACAAAAATCCCTTTTACAGTCACTCCACATTTTAAAGTGGAACACTTTAAAAACAGAAATGCACACGGGGTCGCTGGCATTTTCTACGTATATTTATCATCAAATAAACAAACTTCTTAGTGGTCACCTCCTCAATTTCCTCATATTCCTACAGCTTAAAATTTATTCACATTAATAATAGGATTTTAGATTTGTTGACGTTTACTCCAAATGACTCGCTGTGCTGCCAGTTTACCAGCACACCACACAAGAATACGTGTAGTGCGTAAAGCACTTGCTTTTATGGTCATTTTAGAGCCAAAAACCGGCTGATTCTGCAAACCAGAAGGACTGACATTTGGTTATTATGAATTTTAAGAACAAGTATTTCAATATAAAAAGCACAGTACCAACAAAGTTGCCTTTATTTCCTAAAGAAATAAAATTAATCTGTACTCAGTGAGAACCCAGAACTATTGCAGAGCCCATGCACTCGGCCTCAGCGAGAGACCTGGAGCAGCAGCTGCCGGTCCCGAGCACACGCGTCAGCGAGAAGCTGCGCTCGCAAAGCTGCGACGTGTGTGTGCCACCGTCTGGTTCCCCAACCACGGAATCTCCGAGCAAGCCCAAGTCACAGAAACCACAGTTTAAAGTCAGCACAGTGTGTTTCCAGATTTTTCATATCATGTTCAGCCCCTATTTGGTGAAATACCTCTTCTAACATGGTTAGACAGAATGTGAAATATGTGAACTTGAATAAATATACAAAAAGAGCTCAAACAAAAAAATCGCAATAAATCACATTTGATCAATGAACCTCTGTGCAGTGTGCCCTTGGAAAAAAACCCTCCAAGAATACTTTGTTGAAATTGAAGCACTCAGTAAAAAATTTTAGAGTCTTAAATTTCAATTTAATTCCCAAAAGCTGACAAAAAAAGTGAAGCATTTAATTTTAATCTTCTAACAGAAATAAAAAAGTCAACAGTACTAAGCACGGGCAGACAAGGTTGAATATTTCACAGTTCAATGACAATGAAGCCAGATCTCTTAATACTTCCATTTCTGTTAGAAGTAGATGTAAAATATATTTAGCACCCGAATGGTTATATCTAGTCAGCTTTATGTCTAAATGTCAAAAGCAGGTTGAGACTGCAGCTCACAGCAATCACATTCTATCAATCACATTAGAAACTACAGTTTATCTAAATGATTCTGATAAAACGAAGCCTATCACTACTTTGAAACACTTCATCTCAACAGAGACCTCTATAAAGGGACTTAGAGAAGATGGGAGGGAGAAGAAGCCTTGTGGCTGTTCTCTGCATTAACATGCATTCAGGATAATAGGGTAATTAGGACGTTATCAGGGTACAGTAACACCAGGACGTCAGACAAAGAAGAGAAAGCTCCCTCGGCTTTGGGAGCGGCTCTGGTGCTGGGGCTCAGAACACCCGTCTACTGGACCGACCGAGGGCTCCGTCCTGCTCGCCGGCCCGGGCACCGCACGAGCCCACGGCCCCCAGGGGCCGGGCAGCGGCCCTCGTGTCGCCGGTGGGCCGGCCGGCTCCTCAGGTCCCAAGGGTCACTGCCGGGGTGCTGACGACACAGGAGGGGGCTACCGTGCGGTCAGCTTCCCTGCGGCACTCACCAAGGCCCCAAGACCCAGAGCAGACTGCGCTCACAGCTCCTCTCTGTGCCATGAACGTTCCAATACGGGAAGACCAGAGGTGACACTTTACTGTGTGAGTATAAGTAAACATATACATGTCCCTTTTTTCCTAACACTGTCTCCATTTCTAGGCTTGTTAAGCAAGCGTCACGTTTTATAAGGCACGTTCTATAAAACCACGTAATTCCACTGTGATTACTACAAACTGCCAATACTGTCTTGAACGGTTCTATTGCCTGGGCCAGCAGGACCCTCCGCAGGTCTCTCTTCTTCTCATGGGGACTGTGAGGTGTTTTGGAAGGGCAAAGGAGGAGTCTTTCTGGCTTTCTGGCACCTTACAACGGCGCCAGCGGAACTCTGAACCTTTAAACACGAAGCCTTCGCGTGGACCTGGACAGGCGTTCCCCAGCAGCAGCCGTTGCTGGCTGTCATGCAAACGTGGACATGACATTCACATTAAAAAATCAACGAAACTTGGGGTCCTAAAGGATCACGCCAGAGGCAGATAGCCCATCACCTAATGCCCGTCAACCATAGCCTGGATTCCACTGGGTTGGCCAAAAAGTCTGTTTGGTTTTTCCCGCACGACGGCTCCAGTAGGGCTTAGTTATCTGTAACTTCATTTGAAACAATTTTGTTAGATTGTATCCGACAGCTGTCACTTCACCATGCATTTAAAAAAAAAAAAAACTTATCAAAACTGGTGAATTTTTGTGCAGCCATTTTAATACTGAAGATCGAAGAAGATACATAACATTTTGGCCATAATATGTTTTATTGTTTCAGAAAAGGTAAAAACAGAACTGAAATGCAATAAAAAAGGTTTGTGCTGGGTACGGAGAAGGTGCTGTGACTGATCGAATGTGTCAAAACTGGTTTGCAAAGTTTCTTGGTCCTATGGTCATTTTGGCCAAATAATTGTTTGCCGTGGGGCTGCCTTATGCACTGGAAGGTGTTTAGCAGCAGCCCTGGTCTGCACCCACTAGAAGCCGGCTGTACCTGGAGACAGCCGACATAAAATGCCCAACTTAATCAAGTTCTTGGTGAAAATGAAAACTGTGTCTTTTATTTTACGGAAAATAGTCAAGGACTTTTTGACCAACCCCATGCAACCCTCCTTAAACACGGGACGCTTCGTTCACTCCTTCACTTACTCATTCATCCAACCAACAGCCCTGGGAGCCAACTACGCCTGGGCACGGAGATGAAGCAGAAACGAGAGCCAACTACGTGTAGGGCAAAGTAAGGCCCACACCCTCGCTCTGCTCACAGTCTACAGACTAACTCTGCTGAGCCATCTCCTCTCCGGCCGATTGGGCTTCTAGAAACTGGCACGGAGCGAGCTGCAAACCCCAGCGGCCCCAGCTGCGGAGTTGTTCAGAGGAGTCACGCAACTCGCGCCCCCCGCACGCGGACACTGTCCAACGGCCCCAGTGACCAGCGCGCCCTGAACGGGAAACGAGGGGCTTCGGACGGTCTCCTAGCCCAGAGGCCTCTCCTCGTTCTCGGGAACCGGAGCTCCAACCGACAGGGCACTGCTGCTGGGGGGGGCGGCACAGGGTCCTCGCCCCGCTGGAGTGTCGGGAAAGGGGACAGACCTGTTTGCTCCCGCCGGTGGCACACACGGCGGCAAACTGGGAGACGCTTCTTCCCCTACCACTCTTGATGCCCCAAACTCATTTACTTCTTACAGTGCTGCTTTCACTGTACTCGGGACGGGAAAAAAGGTTACATAAAACACATAGTAAATCACGAAGTATGAAAACAGGGATTGGAAGAGTAAGCCCTTTTCCAGTTAACCATCAATAACAGCCCCTGCACCACTGTTTCACGGACAGAAGCAACGGACCAGGAAGGCCATTCATCCTGAGATGCGCCAAGAAACAAGCTTGGGGCGGCACCCTGGAGGGCAGCGGCCCCAGGAAAATGGCTTGCGGGACCGGCACGGCAGACCGGCACTGCGGGGCTCCGGGCACACTGAAAGGGGCTCGCTGATAAGTCCCACGCAAAATGTTAAAAAAGTGCACTAACTTTTACTAAATGTTACAATCAATGATGTAACTTATATAAGTAGGGTTACTCTGTCACATATTGATAGTTACTTCACTTTCACATCCACATTAACTTGATTTTAAATGCAATTAATACATATAGTCAAGGAAGACTAATGGACTACATTCTGCACTTAACCTGGTGGACATTTTCAAATGGCACAAGTGACCAGTGCAAACCTATTTTGCATTGTAAACGACTAAATAAATCTTAATGGATTAAGAATGATCAGCTATCAACACACAAGGGAAATTAAGTGCTGAAATGCCCACATTGATTATTTTAAATTATTAGCCTTACTCTGTTCTTGAATTTGTATGCTTTTAGTGAGCTTTAACACATTTACAAGACTTATTGACTATAATTACAAGAGAATTCAAGTAATGGACACATCAATTATAAGCAACACGTCTTGACCAGACAGTTGCATAAAGAATTCTAAAAAGAGCTCCATTAGCATCTTCCTCTTAGTTTTGTCCAGTTGTATCTGCCTTAGGAGGGCATGTTGTGCAAGCACACGTTTTCTGCACTTGTGCACAAGCCCGTCTCCGGAGCCACACCACCTCAGAAAGGACGCCACCACGCAGCACCAGCAGCCGCCGTCCACGCCGCCAGCGCGCGGCGGTGGGGCTCCACGGCGCTGGGCCGAGGTGGGGGCGGGAGCACCAAGCCGATATTTTCCCAGGTTGATCTCATGCAGGGTTCCCTGCTACTTTCGCCAACAAAAAACTTTTCTCTCTCTTTAATCACCCTAAACTATTCATCACGTTCCGTCCTCTTTCGTCTTCTTCCTTGTGACGATGCAAAAAGTTTCAAAAACTGCACAATTTTAGAGTATATCTTTAATAATAAGCCATTATTTTAAAATACAGTAAAATAAACCTTACAGTTTTAATGAAAATATGTTCATTAAAATGTGAATTTATTATTCAAATCCACTCATAAATTCAGCCATGGAGACAGAACTTGTCTAAGCAGAGCGCAGCAATTTAAAAAAGATGTCTGTTTAAAATAAAGGATGCATGGCAGGTTTATAGAAACAGTGCAGTGAATTTTTACATAAATTTGGAATAGTGGCTTATACATTTTTCAGCAAAAAAAAAAAAAGTTTTTAAAAAAATTTCTACCTAAAATTAAGCCTGAGGAAGGAACACTGCGTATGCAGAGCACAGAAGCCTGAGCAGGTCCTGTCTCCAGGAAAACCAAACCCCAGAACACACTGACTTGGAGAAGCACTGACTATTTCTGATCCTTGAGAGTGGAGCGTTGTTGCCTAGGAGTTACACTTTCGGACATAAACTACCTGGCAGTGAACATTTTTAAAGCCCTAAAGTTGTAGGAAAATGTTTATTATCTCATTCCTCAAAAGCCACTTAATACGTCCTCTGGAATGCAACGTGTCACTCAATAGACACCTTGGAAAACCGAGGGGCCGGGACCTCGAGCATCTGAAAAGCCCTGAAGGACGGGACGGTACCCAGGGCGTCAGAGGGAGCGGCTGGCTCCTGACGACACGGGCGGGGACCACGGAACAGCCTGCCCCTGGGACCAGGGAGGCTCCACCGCCCTGAGAGACCTTACGTGCCAGCGGTGCCAGCGGTGCCCAACGGCGGCTGTCCCGGGCACCCCAGCAGAGCACCGGGGCCCGGGGCAGGCCGGCGGCAGGCGCGGTGAGGGCCGCACCTCCGCGGGGAGGGGGGCCGGGACCCGACACGTGCGTGGCGGGGGGAGGGCGCGCGGCCCGGCTCGCGTACCTGTGTGCGTGCGGATGTGGGCCAGGAAGGCCATGGAGTTGCTGCTGCGGCACACCTTGCCGCAGTGCTTGCACACGTTGCCCTGGTTCTCCTCCCGCTCGCGGTTGATCTGCTCCGTGTCCTCCACGATGTACTTGTTCACCTCGCGGAGCAGCTCCTCGTGCTGCCCCTTGATGTGCAGGAACAGGCTCTGCTCCGAGTCGAAGGGCTCCGTGCACTTGACGCACTTGAAGGTGGCCCCGCCCTCCGGGAGCTCCTCCACGCTGGCCTGCTCGTTCCGCAGGTGCCCGGCGCTGGCCAGGTGCTGGTGCAGGTTGCTCTCCGTGTAGAAGGACTTGCCGCACAGCAGGCAGTGGAAGTGCTTCTCCTTGGTCGGGTGCTTCATGGCTATGTGCACGTTCAGGCCGCTCAGCCCGTCGGCCAGGAAGCCGCAGTCGTCGCAGCGGATGCGCGTGGGCTCGCCGCAGGGGCCGCCCTCGCACCTCTTCCTCCTCGCGCCCTGCGCGCCGTCGCTGGGGGGCGACCTGCGCCCTCTCCCCGCCGTCGGGCCTTCCTCGGCCGGCTCGGCCAGTGCATCGTCCTCCGGGCTCTTGATCCTCACGATGGAAGCGTCGAAGCGGCCGACACTGTACGTGGCCTGTCCTTTGTCATCGATGCTGACGATGGTCTCGTACATTCCGCTGCTCCCGACGGTGCTGTCGGAGGCGGGGCCGTCCTCCTCCAGGACAATCTCGGCTTCCGGTGGGGAGTTCATCAGAACGCCCTGGCTTTCCACGGGCATGGCCGTCAAACCCACGGAGCTCCGCACACGGCCCGCTCTGTCCTGAGCACGGCTGTCCAGGTCTGGCTGTCCTCCCGTCATTCTCAACACAACAGGGACGGCGCTTTCGGCCGCCTGGGCTCCACCCAGAACTCCAGGACACCCGCGCTGGCTGAGGGTGCCGCCTGCCTTGTCTCCTCCATTCCCTCCACCGCTCTCACAAGGTGCACTTGGGTCCCCGACGTCACTCAGTCTATCATGGTTGTTCCTCACCGTCTCATAGTTCAGAGCTGAGCCCCCCGAACTTCTGCTCTGAAACCTGCTCGGGGAGCCGCGGTCAGAGGACACAGTCAGGGGCGCCCTCTGCTCCGGCCCCCCGGCTCTGCCCCTGGCAGGGGGCTCTCGGAAGCTTTCGCGGAAGGAAGGGTCTCCACCGACACTCGGCTCTTCTTGGGTCTCAGCGTCCACAGGGTCGGGGGCACAGAGCACCTGAGGCACGCCCAAGTCAGGGTTCCCGTCGAGGACAGAACAGTCGGCAGCGTCTCCGGACTTAGGAGTCTCAGGTGGCTGATCTGGAATTACTTGAAATTCTGCAGAACGTGGCTGATGCCGGTCCTCCGGCACAGCGACGTTTCCGGACAGCTCCGAGGACCTGGCTTCCACCTCGGGGGAGGGCAGGTAGGACTGCCTCTTCGTCTTGTGCTTGTCGGTGGCCGCGTGCCTGGTCATCTCCCGGTGGGTCACGGCGTAGTAGTCGCACGCCATGCAGTAAAACGCAAACTCCCTCGTGTGCTTCCGTTTCACGTGCAGCTCCAGGGAGGCGGGCGAGTGGGCGCTGAACTCGCAGTGCACACACCTGTTGTCGCCGGCGCCCGGGGCGTCTCTCTGGGGGCACGCCTCCCCCTGCTGCCCCAGCTCCTCTGGCTCCAGAGACACCTGCTCCTCCTCGTCAGCGAGGGGACTGCCAGCTTCCCCGCCTACGCAGGGAAGCGCGTTTTCGACCCCACCTTCCACCACCTCTCCGAGCTCTCGCCCCGGCTGTTCTGCAAGGGAGGGGTCTGACTCAGCTGACCTATCAGCACGCTCGTCCGCACCAGCGTGCCGGCCGCAGGCCTCAAGGTCCCCCCCTTCGGGGCCGACGACGATGTCCGAGCTCTGTTTCCCATGCGCCTCTATCTCCACACGCCCTCTGTGTTTCTTGGTGGCACAGTGGCGCTCCATGTCCCCCTTAGTCACCGTGTAATACTTGCACACCTTGCACAAGTAACTGTACTGGTGACTGTGCTTCCGTCTGATGTGGACGGTCAGGTTCGTGATGCTCGAGGCCAAAAGGCCACAGTGTGAGCATGTCCGCGAGATGCTGCCCTTGGGTCTCCCCCTCTTCGGAGCAGCGGCCGCGGCCTCGTCGTCTTGGGCGGCCGCACCGGACTGTGACTCCTCCTCGGCAGCCGGCGCCACGCTCTCCTCCGCAGAGGAGGGCGGCGGCGGCACAGCGTCCGCGCGGCCCTCGGCCCGCTCGCTCCCGGGAGCGGCGCACTCTTCCTTTCTGTCACCGGGGCCTATACAGACCCTTTCGATGCACTCTTCGAAGCTTAACCCGATGTTATTTTTCTTAGCGTTTTCAAGATGTTTGCTTCTCTTGATGTGTTTCTCCATCCCTTCTTTGCTCAGCGAGTAAAGGTTACACGCTTTACAGAGAAAGTGATAGTCCTGACCGTGCCGGAGCTTTATGTGTCTCGTGAGGACGGTGGAAGACCTCGTCTTGTAGAAGCACTTCTTACACTGGAACTGCGGCCGGCTTGCGTGCCGCGCCTCGCCACCGTGGCCTGCGCGGGCCTTGGCCGGCTCCTCCTGCGCCGCCCTCGCCGACTGGCTCCCAGGCGCCCCCGCGCTCCCGGCCGCTGGCGCACTCCAAGTCTGCAGGAGCGGGTCACCGCTGAGTGACTGTGACGTCTGTGGTCGACCCAGGAGGCCAAGATGCTTCTCCGCTGGCCTGTGTTCCCCCACATCCTTCTCGGACGGGGAGGACAGCTCACGGGGAGAGCAGGAAAGGCCCGCGCCCTGCTCCACCTCCACGTGGTCTCTAAGACGGGCTTCGTCGGAGGGGGCGGACGAGCTGCACTCGCGGCGGAGGGCAGGGGCGGCGGGCTGGCGCTGGCGGTCATGCAAGCGTTCCTCCAGGTCCCGCCCCGACACACCGGGCACGTCGCGTGTCTGGTGGGACAGCTCCCCGTCTCGCGCATGGCCCCCCTGCACGTGGACTCGCGCCTCTGTCCTGCCTGCAGCCAGCGGCCCACAGTCTGTCCACGCGCACGCCGTCTGCAGGTCGGACGCCGCTCTCGCTGCCGGAGGGCCTGAGGGGCACAGGGGGAGGGCACTCCTCTCGCCCGGCTTCGGCTCCTGGGTCTCTGCGGAAGTCTCGCGGGGGCCATGGGCGCCGCCGCTCGCTTCTACGAGTCTAGGCGTGCATTCAGCCTCACCTGTCCTCATCTGTGCTCTGAAGTGTTTCATATATATCCTCAGAGTCTCACTGGTGCCTCTCTTATTGATTCCCGAAAGATTAAACCTTTTCTTGGCCTGGCCTTTTAAGGGGAACGTGCCGCTGCGCCGGCGGAAGCTACCAGCCGGTGCGAGGGCGCTTCGCTCGGGCCTCGGCCTCGGGGCCGTGCTGACGCCACGTGCTGTCTGCGAGGCCCTCCCGGTCGAGTCCACCCTGTCCAAGAGACCCTGCGAGGTTCCCGAGGCCTCCGGCCTCCTACTCAGGTTTTCAGGGCTTGGAGCTGCGCCGAGGGGAGGGGCGAGTTCCTCAACGACCTCCCCTTTCTCCAGCGGGGCGCCCCGGCACGGCCTCATGTCCACGAGAAGCTCGCTGCCGCTCCTACTCTGCTTAGAAATGCTTCCTCTGAGGTCTTCACATTTGCTTCCGTTTCTTGGCCTTTTTGAATCACTGCTCTTTGCTGTTTGGTTAGAAGCTCTTGGTTCTGCGAGGACACTTTCTGCCCCGACGGCGCACGGTGTCCTAGGGAAGGGCGGCTTGGTCAGGGTCTGCACAAGGCCCCCCCGCGCAGCCAGGTTCTGGCGCCGCAGGTGCGTTTTGCCAAGACAGTGCGCACGCAGGAGGCTCTCTTCCACGCACTGGAAGCCGCACAGGTCGCACGAGAAGACCCGCTGCGGCCCGTGCGTCTGTGTGCCGGGCACCGGCCGCGCCGCGCCGCCCTCCGCTCTGTGGCTGCGGGGGCAGCGGGCAGCTCCCGCGGGCGGTGGCACGGGACACGTGGCGTGCTTGTCCGGGTCGGAGCACGAGGAGCGCGGAGGGCCGCGGGAGCTGCACCTGAGCACCGGATCCACCTCTCCGGCGGAGCCCCCGGCGCCGGCCGCCTCTCCCGGGGGGAGAGGAGCGTCTGCTTCTGGGCCCAGGGAAGGCGCTTCCTGCGCAGACGTCGCTCCAGAGTCTGTCATCGGAGAGGCCGTGTCCGCCGTGCTGAAGCTGCCGAGAGGGGCGCCGGCTGCAGGCAGGCCTGTGTCTCCCTCCGAGCGGCTGTCCAGGATGGACGCCTGCGCTGCGTCGCCCGACGGGACACCCACTTCTGAGCCCCTGCCAACGCCCTGCTCCTCAGGTCTAAGGGGCTCCGCCTCACCCCGCTTCACTCGCTTGGGCGCACGGCCGTCTCCGTCCTCCTCCGAAAGGACACCGTTCGCTGACCCCGGGAAAGCTCTTTTGCCCGTGGAGTTCTCAGAGGAGCCCGCGGCCATGTCGGACACCAGCCCACGGCCCGCGTCGTCGCGGGACGGAGCCTCTTGCGAGCCGCCCGCCTCTCTGCTCACGTCCTCGTCCTCCTCGTTCTCGGGCTTCTTCTCCGTGTCCATCGTGAGCGAAGGCCGACGGTGCCCCCTGCGTCCGGCAGCTCACATGGCACTCGGGCCTGCGAAGAAAACGGACGTGGTGTTAACCCTCCGAGCACAGAGATGTCACCGTGAAATGACACCCAGGAAGGGAAGATGCCACAGAGGCGGCCTCAGGGGGATTTCCCCTCTACTGAGGTCGACATGGTCACACGACCCTTTAGGGACACTGCGCACCTGGGTCCGGGGACCGCCACAAAGCTCGCTGTGACGCAGGGAGCAGTACCGTGGCATCTTCCACAGAAAGGGGGTCTCTCAACCAGCATGCAGAGGAAACTCCCAAGCTTCAACTCCCGTTACCGATACGTTTGAGTTACCCACTCTCTTCTCAACAGAGAAGCCCTCTTTCAACCTATGTTTCCATGACCCCCCACCCCCTCTGTAAAGCAGACCACCGCCAAACCATCGCGACGCAGGTCAGGCAGCCAGGCTCCCCCCGCGAGGCCCCCCCCCAGCGGGAGCCCTGGTCCTGGGGTAAAAGAAATGTATTTAAAGCCACTCCACTTGTCCATCATCAGCTTCCTCACCCAACAGTGGTCCTGGGCTGTCTGAGGTCGATGGCCAAGGGAAGCGTCCGTGGTAGGGTAGGAGCAATGGAGTAAATTTGGGGGAGAAAAATTTACTGAATGAAATGCTTTCAAAGCAACCACACTGATTTTATTTTTCATTATGCCATTTAATTCAATTAAAACATACCATTTTCTGATTACTTTACACCGCGACTGGGATTTCCAACCAAATGCCATTTGATTGGATGCTAATAAAAACTAGCCACACAGTATGACCTCAAAGCCAGTGATAACTGTCTCAGTTACTTTTCCCCGTGACGACGAGAAACCCAGTGGAGGCCATCGCCGTGACGGCACTAAAAGCAGGGCGACAACAAGCGCACATAAGACCTCACACCCAACGCATAAGCGACGAAAGAAAAAGCTGGGTAAATTGAACTTCTTAAAAATAAAAACTTCAAATGACACTGTGCTTCAAAGGCCACCACCAAGAAAATGAAAAGACAACCAACAGAATGAAGAAAGCTTTGCAAATCACATGTGACTTAATCTAGAAATATACAGAACTCTTACAGTTCAATAATAAAAAGACAAACTAATTTTAAAATGAGCACAGGAGCTGAATATACTCTTCTCTAAATCTGATATGCAAACGGCCAAAAGCCCGTGAAAACACAACCTAAGCAGTGAGCGCTGGAGAGATGCAAAGAAAACCACGATGCAAGGCCACCCACTCACGAGGACGGCTGGAATCGGAAAGGCACAGGGCAACGAAGGCCGGCGAGAGAGTGGAGCGGTCGGCACCCTCACACCATGCTAGTGAGGACGCACAACGGTGATGCCCTTTGGAAAAACGTCCGGCAGCTCCTCAAACGACTAAACAAGGAGTCGCCAGGAAGCCCAAGAGCAGGAAACACACGTCCCCACGAGAACTTACACACAAACGTTTACGGCGGGATCGCCCATAACAGCCAGGGCGTGGAAACCACCCGGGTGCTCATCGACAGTCGGACGGTGACCTAAAGGCGGTGCACCCACACAACGGAGCGTCCTTCAGCCACACGGAGACTAAAGCGCCAGCGCAGGCCACAGTACAGATGAGCCTCGAGACCCCTCTGCTGAGTCAAAGCAGCCAGTTCAGAAAGGCCGCAGAAGATTCCTCTCACGGAAATGCCCGGCACAGGCAACTCTACAGAGACGAGGGCCAGTTACTGGCTCCTCTGGGGGCTCCTGGCAAAAGGGTTCCCTGCTTCTCTTTCCAGATGATGAAGACGCCCCACAACTCACGCGGTGATGGTTTCACATTATCTGCGAATATGGGTGAGCCCATTACATTGCAGTGGGGTTTCTTTACATTTTTTTTTCTTTTACTGATTCTAGAGGGAGGAGAAAGGAGGAGAAACATCATCGTGAGGGAGAAACATCGACTGGCTGCCTCCTGCACAACTGGGGACCGGGCCTGAAACCCGGACACGTGCCCCGAATGGGACTCGACCCCGCGACCTTTCGGTTTGCAGGATAACGCCCAACCCACTGAGCCACACCGGCCAGGGCCATTGAACTGTAGGTTAAATGAGTGGATTGTATGATATATAAACATCTCAATAAAGTTACTTAAAAATATAGATATTGTCATATATAATCTACAATACAAAATCATCTTATATTTGTTACTGTATTGCTCTCATTAAAGAGTAAAAAAGATAAATGCACATACTTTTATTACACATGTAAGATATTCACGCTTTCTTCAGAATGTGTTCCAGAAAATATAAGTCATATAAGAGGTTAAGAAATGTTTTGTTTGACTGGTTTGGTTTTTTTTTTTATTTTTGGGGGGAGGATGAATATCCCTGGCCAGATAGGTTGAGAAAACTCTGGTTTGAACAGAATTCCTTTACCACATATTCCTCAGCACACACGCATTTCCCAAATTAACTTCATCACATAACCCTTTGTTTATAAAGAGCCAAGAAAGTGGTGTTCTGGAGGACCCTTTAGAAAATGCTCTTCTAGAGAAAGCACTGGTTTTGTTATTCAACATTTGTAACAGGAGATAAAAAAGGGGAAACACCCAGTGAGTTAATCACACGTCTGGGCCAAAAACCTCACTTAGGGCCACGGCGCACCAAGTGGTCTTGATGATAGACACCGGAATCGCAGCAAAGGGCAGCGTAATAGTCACGCCAGACAGTGTGAGGGGCGAGACAGTGGTTCTTTCACATGCGTGCTCTCCTTCCAGGACCCCTGCCCCCATGGCAGGGAAGAGTCACGGGACGAGCGCACCCCCCACGCACGGGACCCCTAGGAAAGAAAAACAGACGACCCTGCAAAAAACCACAAGCATCTCTGCCCCGGGCACCAAAGGGCAGTGGTCCCCGGAGGTGAGACCTGCCTCCCAGACACCTGGGCGAGACGTCTCCCTGGGCAAGGGACTCAGGCCACAGGCCACAGCACAGGGCGGGGCCTCCAGCAGAGGGAGGGGCAGCCAGTGGTGGTGGGGCGGGGGATGGGGGGGGCCCCCGAAGGAGAAGCACGGAGGTCTGCAGAGGGCCCGTGGGAGCGTCCCTGTGGAGACAGACAGCACTGCCATCCTCCGAGAGATGGGCTCAGGCCCCTCACACTCAGTCCCAGTACACCCCCCCCACCCGAGGGGGCAGCCCCCGCTCCAAATCCCTCCCCAGTAGGTTGCCGCAGCAGCTCATGGAAGCGGGCGCAGACACTGTGCCGTCGGAGGGCGGAGGGCCAGGCTGCTCCTGCCCAGCACAGCGTCCCTGCTGCGTCGTCAGCCAGCGGGGCGCTCGTGGGGCTGGGCCACGACGCAGCCGTGGACACTGCAGCCGCTGCCCTTCTCCTGGCCCGCGTGGTAAAGCCGCTGGCCGCTCGCGCTCCTGCACGAGTCCTTCCGAGAACACGTGTCTTCTCCCGTGTGCGGGTACCTCGGGGGGCTGCTGCTGCTGGGTCACCGGGCAGAGGACCCGGTGAGCTCCGCCAGGCCCTGCTGTTCACAGAGCCACCAGCGACGCCAAGGATTCCGAGTGACCCACGTCCGCGCCCACCTCAAACGCCGTCGGCCTTTCAGACTGGGGTCACTCCAGTGGGCGAGGTGGCTCTCTTGCGTTTCCCTGATGACCAGTGATGGTGCCAAACACTTCGTCTCGTGCTTCGTGAAGTGCCTGTTAGCCTTTTGCCCATGTTGTAATTTGGCTGTTGATTCCTGGGCTGGAGGCACTGCTTATGCATTCCGGATACAAATCCTTTGTCAGATACACGTTTTACAAATATTTTCTCCCTCTGATTTTATGACTGTTGTCTCTTGTTAAGCAGAAGTTTTAAGTTTCAATGAAGTCAATTGTCGTCCTGTTCCGGTTAACAGTGTGTCTACTTCACTTCCCCTCCCGCACTGCGATGCGAGGGAGGGGCTCAGGTTAGCGCCCTCCTGTCCCAAGAGCCCAGAACAATCCCAAGCGTGCGAGGTGCTAGAATGAGTGAACACCTCGTTGTGATGTCTCCTGGACGACATGAAACACGTCTGAGATACGCTCCAAAACAGACCAGGAGAAGGCCACAGTGAGGCTGCGTGCTGACAATGACCAAAGCTGAGTGACAGGGCAGGGGACTCAGTATGTGATTCTACGGGGTTTCCCAAAGTCTGTGTGTGTTCGTGTTTGAAAACGGCCGTAACGGAAGTCAGGGTCGATGTCTTTCAGTGCCTGGTCTGGACTGGTGCGAATCCTCTTCTCTTCGACGCCGAGCTGACCCACCCTCACACGCCACTGCGGGCTGGGCAGGAGGCCGGCTTCGGCTCGGCACGCACAGAACACGCGATCTCGGGCTTCAGGGAGACACACGCGAGTCACGTCTGTTCAGCGTAAACGTTCTCATGGGGACGCCCGACTCGTGTGTGTTCAGAGATAAAAGAGTGACAACTACACGAATATGCAGAAGCCAAATAATGACGCCCTTTATTGTCATCTCTAGAATGGCCCCCAAAATTATAAAGCAGAAGGAGAAAATGTGGTCCACTTGTTATTTCCCAACCGATTTTTTGAATTAATGAAATAACTCAGCAAGTCATCCTATGAAGAAAGAACAGCCCACACACACACCGAGTGCCCCCCACGCGAGAGGAGCCGGGGCCACAAACACCCTTGGCCCCTGGCAGGCTGCCGTTCTGCGGGGCCACGGGCAGGGGGCGCCAGTGCGAGGCTGCATCCAATGGCTGCATCCAACGGCCGCGTGCGCGACATAGGCTCGGATCTGCGCACAGATGAGCACGGGATCAGACCACCACGTAGGGCGTCTGCTGGAAGAGCAGAACGACCATCTGAGCTAATCCTTGAGCAAACCGGGACCGGGGTTCTCTCCCGCCCAGGGAGCAGGCGGGAGCAGGTGAACGGCTCCAGGGGAAGCAGGGCGTGGCGAAGCCAGGGAACAGGCACGGGGAGCGTCGGCCACTGTCAGCCATCCACGCAGCTCACAGCGACACCACGGACTTCCCACTGCCCGCA